ATAACCTTTATTGTAGTCCCCTATATAATCCCTATATAAGCCCCGAATTTAAACTATATATAGCTCATGCGTATATACAGGTAGCAGCAGGTTCGCGCTCCAGTGTGCGGTTGGAGTGGGCCACATCCGTGCAAATAGACTTCATCTCCTTCAAGTTGAAGCCGAATTGAGCGGTCCCCACCTGAGTTGGTCTTCATTTCGGTATGTAGGCTTCGTTTTGGCGGGCACCCCAGAATCACAGACCTACAGAGCATTTCGAGAAAAAATCCCACCTGCAAGGGCGGGCCAGAGGTCTGTCCATTCGTCGCGCAGAAGGCGCTGCAGTAGTTGGCCATCCGATCATCATCAAATCTTGGATCCTGGAGGTGGCAAATGTCCTTCTGGGTCATTGCGTGGAAAGCCACCTTCAACGCGTCGGCACCGGTCCCATCAATTGGGGGTGTGCATGACAGCTGGTCTGCATGCACAAAGGACCATAGGCTCAGACTAAGGAGAACCTTTGCCATGCCAGATCTGTGCCTTGAGCCGCGCAACGCTCCGCAGAGTGGCTGTCAATAAGCTGCAGAAACCGTAAATCTTGGTACGTACTTGGCAACGCTTGGACAAAGACTTTGGCAGAGCTGCGCGGTGTGCAAGAACGGTGCAATCCATCACTTTCCCTCGCCCTTTTGGACGAAACGAGTCTATATTTGCCGTTGACGTGGCAAGAACACCACCTCAGGGCCACGCACGACGGCCTCAGGCGACGGGCAGCATTTCTGGGAAGCACCTGTCGCCTTCAGGGCTCTACGGAAATGTCAGAAGACCCCCCCGGGGGCACCTCTGTCTCTCTCTCTCTCCTTCTCTTTCTCTTTCTTCTTCTCACTGTGCTACCTCCTCCCAAGGGAGGAGGCTGGGGCAGTGCCCCACACAGGATGCGGTCTCGGCAACGAACCGTGGCAGGCCCCGATGCTTACTTTCACTCCCGGACACGAAGAAAAGAGAATGCACTATGGAGCCCCCAATCACTAATACTCAGTGCACGTAGTCCCTTGCATCCAGGCCTGAAAGCAACATCGCTACTACCCCCGGCGTGACAAACTCCCACCTCAAGTGGGGGCACATGTGGCCTCCAGCATTATTCAGGGCAGGGTGCAGCTACCTTCAGCCCGAGACCCTTGCGCTGCTGGCAAAGAATGCAGGGGCAGTTATCGCATCGAGCAGTGCCTCACCTTGGCCTAGCACACACTGAGAGCTTATACAGCCCGAGATCCCCTTGTGCACTGCTCTTGCTGACTTTTGCCGTCACCCCCTCTCCGACTGGAGCATTGTTGCGCACATCACTGGGAGAAGGCTCAACAACTAGCAAAACCCCTGAACTACAGACAGCAAAATGTTGACATGTGCGCAAGCAGGATGCAGGGGTGAGACTACAGCATGCCAGAACGAAATAGACAGCCTGCGGCTCAACCCCAACTCACGGCTACTATGGCTAGTTTCAGAGAGATATTGGTGTAGGATGTCGGTTGAATAGCATTTATCTGATACAGGCAATTGACTGGCAACTATGCACGCTTCAGGGATCAGCCACTCAAGAGTATGTTAAGGAAGCAACAAGTTATGCCTCTGCCCCAGAGAGGAAATCACTCTCTGTGTCTCTGTTGTCTCAGTGACGGCCGACTGGATCGCAACTTGTAAAATGAGCTCTGTTCGTTGCTGGGCTGTGGCACATGGCGCGTAAAACAACAGTCAACAAGATTGGCTGTAGCTTTCGCACGGCCTACACGAATGGCAATCATTACTGTCATGGCCTTGAGCTGCAATCTTACACTTCACGAATCCATACCTTGCTGAGAACAGGCTGAGCACGCCTTGCCTGCTCGTCCCTCTCCCAGCAGCAGCTGCAAAGTGCAGCACCCACGCCGGCTACCAGAGCCTCTTGTTCGTGAGCAGATTAGAAGTGATGATGGTCTGGAGGATTATTGCACAAAAAGCGGCGATATTTCAAGAAGCAAACATCAAGTAATCCAATTCTGAATAAAAATCTTCCTCCAAGTTTGTGAACTTGTGACTTTCAAAGACAATAGGTAAGAAGAAAGCATATAACTTGCCGAGATACCAGGAGCCTGTGCCGCAAGGCGCATGTCCCCCCCAGTGTCGTGAGCTGCTTGTAGGGCGGCACGCATGTCGCCGGAGCTGCAGAGCTCCATCACAGCGACCGCGTCAGGGTCACCAGGTGCACTTTGACCAAGTTGATGTGGGGCATGCACATCAACTTGGTCAGCACCTGGATCTCGCCAACAGGGAGGCTGTCGCCGGCCATTATCGGCGTCTTCATGGCGAAGTGCCTTAACAGCATCATCGGCCCTCCCTTGCAGGATAACAACTGCTATTCCAGGCCTAGTTTGGTTTCTCCGCTCCAATTATGACAACCAGGATCCTCTCATCTTTACGTACCATTAAAGTTAAAGGATGTCACGGCCGGAGTGTAGCCTCGGAAATGAGTTCACCGTCAACACCAACAAGCTGTGTATGGATTTCGTTGGAAATAGTTCATGAAAGGTGGAAAACATGCTTACTTAAAGGTCATGTATTACCGTGCCCTGTCAAAGCACCGGCCGCTTGGCGGGAGACACACGAGGAGCGCGCAACTTTCTGGAACACGGAAACTGCACTGAACACAACAAGTCTGATAATTAGCGGGGTATGTGTCTAGCCTTGGGCTCATCAACCTGGGTCTTCTGGGCGTCTGAACGGCACCTCGGCTTGCAGGACGTTTAACCCGCCATACCGATGGATCAGAATGCTCGAACTCTTATGCAGCTTGGAAGCTCCGCGAGGAGCCGCTGGTTCTCCGTCGCCCGATTCTTCAGCAATGCCGAGGTGGCGCGCACCTCTACTTTGACAGTGTAACTTCAAGTGTTTTTTGTTCCCTCTGGCTCTCCCTCTCAAAGTCTCTCTGTTGTCTCAGCGACGGCCGACTGGATCGCAACTTGTAAAATGAGCTCTGTTCGTTGCTGGGCTGTGGCACATGGCGCGTAAAACAACAGTCAACAAGATTGGCTGTAGCTTTCGCACGGCCTACACGAATGGCAATCATTACTGTCATGGCCTTGAGCTGCAATCTTACACTTCACGAATCCATACCTTGCTGAGAACAGGCTGAGCACGCCTTGCCTGCTCGTCCCTCTCCCAGCAGCAGCTGCACAGTACAGCACCCATGCTGAAGTGCAAAGGGTTCTAAGCTTCACAGCTGACTGCTGCAGAGCCGTGAATTTCAAGGCAGACTTGGAGGGTTCACAGGTGCCACAGGTGCAGATCCTGCAGTGTTACTTGCACTTCTTTTTTGCGGTGCTTGGAGTTTTGCTGCCCGTATTAGGCTTAGGATCGGATAGGGAAAGCCCTGGGCAGCGTCCAGCCTGTACAAACCAGCCCTTGCCGATGCTGGAGAGCCCAGCGCCAAATCAGGCCCTGAACGGATGTCAAGGAGCCAAAGGGTTCATTATCAAGCAGGCACGTCTAAACTGGCGCCCGCTTCTTCTCAAGGCACTCAATTCAAACTCACTCCGCGTGCCGGATCGGAACGCGATGCCAGCAGTTGCAGTTCAGGCCACGTAGATTCCTGATTTTCCACAAGCATTGCAAGAGCATCAAGCACAACATATCTATGCATAGCTTCCCTTTCTTACTGGTTCTTAGTAGGGAATATGGGAACATATTATGTGGGAAATATGTGGGAAAATACTTCCCTTATTCCCTACTAAGGTCCAGTAAGATAGCTTCCCTTCTTCAGCTGGGCGGCCACAAGGGTTCTGGTCTTTCAGGCTGCGTGCCTTCCAACATCTACAAGCAACACGGAAAAGGACTTCGCACAAGATTGCCTCATATTGGGTTATATGGGGTTATATTGGGGTTATATGGGGTTTATATTGAGGTTACATTGGGATTATAGTGGGTTCATATTGGGGTTTATAGACCGACAAGTGGCTGTAGGCTGAATCCACGGCCCGGCAGAGGACCGTGAACTCTTTGCCCTGTAGCTCTGGAGGCACCGGGACCTGGGTTCATTGAAGAGCACCAACAAGGAAGAGAGACAATTCCCCAAAAGAAGATTGAGCAACAGCTGCAGAGTGCTGTACCCCCAACTGGAATTGTGATGGATAGTTTTGATGCCTGCAGCAGACTGGAAGCAGCCATGTCAGTGAGGAGTAGCAATCAGTCGACATCATGATCATGATCATCATCATCATCATCATCATCAGCATCACCATCCCTAAACCCTAAACCCCTAAGACCCTAAACCCCTAAAACCGCTACACCCTAGACCTTAAACCCCAGTGTCAACTTGACACAGAAGATACGCGAAGTGCTGAAGTTTTTTCCTCAGGGCCCGACTGATGCTTCCCAGAAGGTCCAAGCCCAGGCCCGATTGTACCCCTGGTCCTGGAAAGAACTTGCAGTTCAGGGTTAAAGGGTTTAGGCTGTAGAGTTTAAGGTTCAGGCGTTTAGGATTCATGGTTCAAGAGCATAGCGTTTAGGATTCAAGGGTGTAGGGTTTAGGACAGAACTTGCAACCATGACTCAAACAAGACCCAAAAGGCAGAGAAACTACCTTCTCACCCTGCATGATCACGGTAAAGCCAGGATGTGAAACATTACCATTATTGCTTTTATATGGCCATTTCCAGCATTACTACCTATTGTTCTTGCTACTATACTTGCTATTCCACAGATTGTAGACAGCCTTGCCATCAGCCAGCTCGGCTGTGACCCAGGTCTTCCCCTCGTCTATGGAGACGTCCACGCGCACGATGCCCCGGCCACCACCACTCCAGGCGAAGCCCCTGACCTCTTGTTCAGGGAGTTTCTCGAAAATGAGGGGTCTAATCTCGGAATTCTTGCAAGGTGGATGACCATGTGTACCCAAAGAGCTCGTGTTGCTATGGCCTCCAGGTCGTCAAGCTCCGTGGTGCTGCCCGGCTTGGGGCTAACAATCGCAGACTGCACGGGCAGTTCGTGCATGGACGGAATCTTCTCCTCAAACCCACGCAGACCACAAGCACGGAGAGCGCACAGCTCAGGTCTCTGCAGTGGGCTTAGCCCGGCGCCACGTCGATACCCTGCAGCTCCTGAACGGCGGCACACACTTGCATTTTTCGTAAAACCTTTTTTAAGGAGCTATCTACCTTTGGCTAGTAATTTGGGAATGGAGGAGCGGATCCGCATCTAAAGAATCCGCAATGATATATCCCGTACATCCCATTTCCTCACTCCATTCTAGCCAAAGCCCTTTAAATCCGGCGATCTAACAACAACAAGCATAGAAACAACAGATTAAAAGTAATAGTAGGAGTCAGCCTTGACCCTAAACCCTAAGCAGTCATCATAATAGTGACAATATAATATAATAGAACTGGTATAATCGTAATATTACAATACAATAGTAGTAGGAGCGAGCCTTGACCATGGGCGAAAAGCCTTTGTAGGCAAGGCCCCTCTGCCAGGGGCCCTCAGCCTCCTCGGTGGAGGCCACTACGCGCCCGACCCACTTCACCTGGGTTGCTGTAGAATATAGGGTTTAGGGTTCAACCCAGGGTTTAGGGTCTAAGGGAAGGAACTTAAAATGAGTTACTATAAGGAGGAAACGCTAAAAATCATGGTAACGCAATTTAAGCTCCTGAACAGCATCCCAGTCACGTTCCGCACCCCCACCACGCCGGGGACCTGAAGCGAAGGTTCGAAGAAGGAAGCTTCTAGTAAAGTGTAGAATATAGTCAAAATAAGTATAAGTTGATACGCTGTATTCACTATCCTGTCATCCAGAATGCTAGAGTACAGACCATAGTACATTGTAATATAATTTAATATACTCTGCACCCCTCACATTTTCGAAACTTTCGTGTACACAAGACTTACTGGTACTTAGTAGGGAGTAATGGAATAAATCCCTTTCAAAATATATTCCCTCATTCCCTACTAACCGTACCCTAACTAGTAGTTTCCAGCTTCTTTTTCATTATCCCTATAACCCGACACTATACCCCTATGTTCCCTTATTCCCTACTACGAACCAGCAAGAGGAACCCTAAACCTTAAACCGTAAACCAAGGAGCTTAGATTAATGTTAAACGGCAACTGGTGTGAGGAGCCTTCATTGTGCGAAGCTTCGCCAAAAAAATATTCAGCCCCCCTAATTTGTCTTGCGGGCCCTTAATTGTGCGAAGTTGCCGAGCCAGAAAAATGTAAAAATAATTCAATAGAAACCTCGTTAAATGCCTTCTAAAACCCTTCTGATCTATTACCGAGACGATCCTGATCCCTCCTATTGAATTTCATTTAAACCTAGAATCCAGATTCGTTTGAGCCCCCCTCTACACTAATTAGGGACCTATTGTTGTTTTGTGGGAGGAAAGGGGGGCCGACACTAATCAGGACCCCACATTATGGCTCATGCAAAACCAAAGCATCCCAAGGCCTAACCCCTAAACATATCTACATATTAGCAGATATATGTCTTATCCCCTATGAATATTCCCTTCTAAGGGCCAGCAAGAACATGGCAATCCCAAGGCCCCGGCAATGACCCGCACAGGCGCCCCGTGCTCGTTCGGCAGCGGCTCGCCGTTCATCTCGTAGGCTAAGAGGACATCGCCATAGGGGCTCAGGGCCTTCACATGTGTCCAGGGTCGATCAGGTATAGAGGGTATAGAGGGTATAGAGGGTATATAGGGTAGGGTTTAGGGCCAAGTTTAGGGTATGTAGGGTTTAGCGTATATGGGGTTTGGGGTATATAGGGTTTTGGGCTCAAAGCATTGGTTTTTTGAAAACAAAGTATATAGTGTGGCACCTAGAACTGAAGGAAGCAGAGCTGGTTAAGCTCTGTTGCAGCCTGTTTGCTGCTTGGTGACGGTGGGTGCTTAGTGTGGCCATGGCTGCATGGAAGCTTTGGATGCTTTCAAGCCCTGCAGATGGCGCACCCCGTCCCAGCCTTCTCAATGGGGATGGAAGCCTGCAAGGCCACTCAAGCAAAAGTCCTATAGATTTGAGCCTTAATCTAAACTCCTAGTTTCCCCCTCGATAAGCCCGATAACATACGATAACGCTCCCTATATAATTGCCAATATAACCCCCTTTCCCCTTTAAGGAGTTTAGACCCAAGACCCAAGACCCTAAACCCTTGCGATTTCATCGATCAGGATGCTTCCGCGCAGCACGAGGCTCTTCGGGGAGTGAGCAAAAGTAGGAGTGTGCATCTGTGCTAGCTCCAGCGCTTTAGATCTTAGGATCTTTCATGGTTAAGCGGAGCCCGGTTGCCTAGAGTGGTCGGGCGTGTGTGTGCGACGCCCTTGGGCTTAGCATACGTGTGATCCAGGGACCAAAGTATGGAAAAGCCATTGCGGACAGCCAGCGGTATAGAGAGGACTGCTAAAGATGGGATTCCCATCTTCGATGGTACTCCGGAACTGCTTCCGTATTTTCGGGAAGAGGCTTTGACGTATCTGTTCACCTTTGAGACTCACAAGAGGTACTTGGCAGGGCCGCGACTGGCCAAGGAGCTGCAGGGCGTTGCCAGAACCATTGTGAGAAAGAAGAACCTTCAGGATCCTCAATGGCTTGCCCAGCCTTGAGGAGTCTATGCCTTACTGGACTATCTGGAGCAAGCGATTGAGCGACCCTCACTGGTTCAGGCGTCTCAGTTGGTTAGCAAGTTCTTCTTCCAGATGCGGAGGCGGAAGCAAGAAACCATGACCCAGTGGATAAATCGCCACAGCGAAGCCCTGTGGGAGGCCTCTCGTTCCTTGAAGCGAGTTCAGCGTGAGTTTGGAGGTGGTGCCTCGAGCAGGCGTAAGACAGCCTCCACTGGCCGCTCGTCGACGGGAACAGAGCCTGAGCGGGAGACTGAGGCCACTAGTCAGAGAGGCAGTGACATCTTTGACGAGAACGGTCTTCTGCGGACAGACGACGACGACCCAGAGGATGATGCCCAGGACAGCTGGACCGATAGTGCCTGGACTGACTGGAAGTGGTGGTCTTCTGGGTGGTCAAGTAGGAAGACGCAGGATTGGTGGCAGAATGAGTATGCTCCGCCAGAGACCTGGCATGTGGAGGATGATTGCGACTTCCTGCCGGACTTTCTGGTGATATTCTTGCTGCTCCACAGGAGCGGTTTGGATGCTCATGAACGGGCCAATATCCTGGCAGCGATCCGTGGACAGTTCTCTGTCGCTTCGGTGTCCCGGGCCTTGCGAGAACAGTGGGCTGATGAGGATCTGATGCGCCGGGACCGGCGTAAGGATCAGGCCATGTTCGTGGAGGAGGACTCCGGCGATGAAGCCGACTTTGAGGCCACAGAGGACACTCCGGATCCAGATGGTGAGCCAGAGGCTTACGCAGCCTACCAGGAAGAGCAACAGAAGATCGATGAAGCAATGGAGGCCATTCAGCAGCACAAGCGCACGCTGAAGGACGCTCGCTGGAGACAGCACCAGGTGAAGCTCAACCGCAAGTTTTACCCAGTGAAGGGTAAGGGCAAGGGTGCAGCCAGTGGGAAGTCCGGCCGTGACGGTCAAGCGTTGAAATGCCTGAAGTGCGGAGGGCCGCACTTGACGCAGGGATGCCCAAAGAAGATGGAGGATGTCAAGGTTGCCACAGAGACTTCAGAGTTCGCATTCCATGCTGGGCAAGAACAGAGCCTCTCTGTTGAAGCAGCAATGGTCTCGCAGCATGAGGCTCTCGAACGAGGACTCGGCATAGTGGATTGCGGCGCGACGGCAAGTCTCGCCTCCATCGACGCGATGGAAGCCATAATGAAGGTCAACTTGGAGAAGTATGGCCGTGACCGTGTGACCGTCTTGCCCGAGAACCGTCCGACCTTCAAGTTTGGTAACGGTCAGCGCAAGGAACGCGTGTCCACTGTTCAGCTTCAGGTTGACCTCGCAGACCAGGTGGGACGGATGGAGTTGCATGTCCATGATACTCCTGCACAGCCTGCCTTGATCTCTGTGAAGGCTTTGAAGAATCTAGGAGCCATTATAGATTTTGGTGTGGGCGAGTGTGTTCTTTCGAAGGTTGATCCCCATGCCATTGTGCCGCTTGAGACGGCGGATAATGGCCATTTGTTACTTCCCTTAGCTCATGACATATTTTCCAAAGCTAGCCGGCGCTCTCAGCCGCTGCTCAATTTGCACCTTGAGTAGGGACATGACTCCCTAGGGGAAAATGGACGTTCTGCCCCGGGGAGTAGTAGCTCTGAGCAGCATGCTTGTGATGTGTGTAGAGTGTGTGGCTTGCAGTCTGTCTCACGAAATTTGGGTCATTGCCAGTTCTGTGATCATGAACACGAATGTTTTGTTGATGGTGTTAATGAAGATGTTGATGCTGTGTCCAGTCAGCAACCGGCAACTTGCGTGCTTGAGCCAGCACCTTGGAGTGACCTCTCAGCCTTGATCAGTGAATCTTCCTCAAAGTCTTCGGCTCGGCAAGATCTCGATCATCAATTTCCTCCTTCGCATTCCCCTCCTTCGGTGACCACAGCTCACAATGGCCACCAAGAGCGACTTGTTGAAGAAGCTCGCGGGATACGGAGAGCAGGCGCCATCGACTTGGACCGTTCTTCAGCTGCGCAGTCGCCTGACGGAGCTGAAGGACGCCGAGAAGGAGGGCAAGATCCAGACTCTCGAGGGGGAGATGGCTCAGCTCAAGAAGGCCTCCGCCAAGAAGGTCACCTTGATAGCATTCCTGACGGATCGCGATATTCAGATCCCAGAGCATGCCACAATCTCCCGGTTGTTCAACCTCGGCGAGGAGAAGATCACCCTGCGCTACCTCCCGAATTCTACCGACCTGGTCGGCTTCGGCAAGCACGGGAACATGACGTACCGCCAGCTGAAGGAAGCCCATCCGGCCTGCTGTCGATGGGTGGTCGACACCTCCGACTCCCCCCACTGGAGACTTGTTCGCCTGGCAAGTTGGTTGGACTCCAATGCTGCGGAGGAATGTGTGGACGATCATCAGAGCCCCATCTCCTTGAAGGGACCGAGCTCTTCCGTGGCTCAGCGCAAGGAGGTGAAGGACAAGAATCCCAAGTCAGTGGGCTCGGCCAGCTCCAAGGACAAGGAGCTAGCGGAAGCTCAGGTGATGATCGAACAGCTGAAGAAGGAGCGAAGCGAACTGGAACACCAGTTGATCGAGTCCCGAGTCCATGTCAAGAGCCGCAGAGAGACCTAGATGATCCCCCGGACCTTTCGGATCATGATCTCATTGATGAGGAGGATGCTTACTTCCACGCCTGCAATGTGCAGTCTTGTCACTCGGGCCACAAGTATATTTCCCACCAATGGAAAGAAGATAGGAACCCCTATAGTGAATCTTTTCAACAACTTGTGGGTATTGATAGGCCTTTACTTGTGGAAGTAGCGTGCGAAGAAGATAGCATCCTCTCGAAGGAAGCGCAGCGACAAGGGTATTCCGCCTTGAGGTGTTCCCCTCTTCAATGGTTTTGACCTCACTACTGAACAAGGGGTTCAGAGGGTGAAGGACTTGATCTCTGAGAGACGACCTCTTAATGTTTGGATCTCTTGTGAATGTGGCCCCTATTCCCCCTTACAGAGGTTGAATCGTAGGAACACCGAACAAATCAGGCGTCTCGAGGAGAAACAAGCCCAAGCCAAACTTCAGTATCAGGGCGGGATACAGGTGGCACGGCATGCACGCCTCTGTGGAGCGGAGGTGCATTTTGAACTTGCTGAGAGATCTGATGCTTGGCGCCTTGATCTCATCGACAACTTTGTTCGTGAACTTCAGTTACAGACAGTGACATGTCACGGCTGTGCCGTTGGATTGAGAGTTGGGCCCTCGCAGCAACTTTCATGCAAGGGATGGATGATTGCCACCACCAGTGCCGCGATGCTTCAGCATATGCATCTTCCTTGCCAACGTAATCATAGGACTGTTCCCCTTGAAGGTAATCTCGCTAAGGAAACTGCGTACTATACCCCTATTTTCGCAAAGAAAGTCCTTGAGGCTATGCGTAGGCAAGAACCTTGGAGTTTGGTTGTTCAGGAGCTTCAGGGAGTTGATGATGGGGTGGAAGTTCAGATTCCTGGGGTTGAGTGTGCGTTGGCTGGGGATGGTGTTGTCAGTGATGCTGAGAGAGAGAGAGAGAGAGTTCTGAAGCTGATCAAACATATCCATAGTGTTTCTGGCCACGGTAGCATTCAGACCTTGGTGAAGGCTTTGGCTAAACGTGGAGTTCCTAAGCATGTGTTGGATATCGCCAAGGACTTCAAGTGTAGCATTTGTGAGGAGAGAGTCAAGACTGCCCCCCGTAGACCTGCGACCTTAATGACGGTTCCCAAGAAATGGCATACCTTGCAGACGGATGTAGGTACGTGGACTCATCCTTATACTCGGGATAAGTACAAGTTTGTGCTTTTCATTGACGAGGGATGTAGGTTTCGTACTGGGAAAATCCTTTTCAAAGATGACTCCAGACAGGCGTCATGGGATGTCATTAAGAAAAGTCTTGAGGAACACTGGTTATCTCATTTCGGTCAGCCAGAGGTTATCAGGGGTGATGCGGATAGCGCATGGCGCAACAAGGAAGCGGATGCGTATTGCAGTCAACGGG